GTTTCAGTTCGGTTCAGTTGGGTTCAATCAAGTCACACTTGAATTCATTCAATTTTTCCATTTTACTCATTCATTTACTCGTTCGTTTCCATATTTTAAAATAAAGGATTAATTACCCAAGTGTGAGGTTACAAACCGGGTTCTCGTCCTACCGCAAAGACCTCACAATATTCAAATCAACACGACCTCTCGTATTCACTTCCACACAACCTTCACAACAACAAAATTTGGTGCCCGATTCAATTCAACGTCACTTTCGATTCAACACAACTTCCACGACATTAAAAACTTTCACGACAATACTCCTTTCCCAATCAAGTAATTGATCCATTTTTCAGTTTAGTATTTCCGACACTCCACATAATTTCAAATCACAATCTAAATTTTCCTTCTAAGCTGCTAAATCATGCTGCTAAAACAGTCTATTTTGTCTGTTCAAAATTTCTAATGATTGGGAAGTGTTAAGAGCGCTGTAATTATACCTCAAATAATCGATTAACAAAACTCTTCCAACTCTGGAAGCTTCTATTTTTAGGATTTCTCTGAGGAATTTCGTAAGCAATATAAAGCAAATTAAGATCTGAAACAAAACACTTTATTACGCATTAAAATTAAAATTAAATTTTTCTTTTTTCGGACACTGTTCGCAGATGAAATCGATACAATGATTTGACATTTGACAATAATGCATAGTTTAGATTTGGGCAATGATGAGAAATAATCAAATAACTGAGAAGAAAAAAACGATTAAGAATAAAAAATTAGTTGGAAAAGAAACTGAGATTTTTAGCAGTGAATATCATTTCAGCTATACAAAAGAAACTGAAAAATTGGAGTGGTACCTGAAATTAATAGAATTATGAATGAATATTATCGATTGATAAGTAAACACTTTCATCATTCAATTTTAGTTATTAGATTATAAGTTATTAAATCTCGAGCAGCAAATGAATTAGACACTCAATTAGATTGCAAATGAATGAAATTCTCAAAAAAAAAATCTGCAAACACATTTCAAAATTTTAAAATTGCAATCTTCTTTTACCTAATTTTTATTGCTGCTTAATTTTTTCTAAAATCTCCAATATTTAGCATTAACTAGAAGTTCAATGCTATATTGTTAAGCAATAAAAGTTTAGCGAGAATAAAGATAAACTAACAGCTAATGATTGTTATCACATAATTCTTTTGTTCTACCTTAGAGAGATAATATAAAAGATCACAATATAAGTAGAAGAATAGGTAAAACCATCCTTGGGTTCTTTATTAGTCAGCATCACATTATGTCATAGAGCAGCATATATTACAATAAACATTCATTCAACTACGAAAATTCTGCAACCATATACAAAAAAGGTTAGAGTTTAGAAGAAAAAGATGATGAAAATCATTGATAAGTTCTGATATAAAAACCAAACATTTTTAAAAACTATTTTTAAAATAAGATGCATAATACTAGAAAATAATCAAAATATGAACTATGCATATGCATTCAGAAATTAACTAAAATGAATGAAAAAGACACGGACAGCAGATGGCAGTATTCATGAATATAAATAAAGTATAATTCATGCATAAAAATTAATGAAAGACATCAGTAGTCATACAGTCGTTTTCGTCAACAAACAACGGCAGATCTGTTTTGCTGAAATAAAAAATTATGTTAGGTTCAAAATTTTTAATCTGGAATCTATGAACTTTTCGAATACATAAAAAACATGGTTAGCTATCATTCAGCTACATGTTTTAAACAGTACTAATAAAGGCATTTTATGGAGAACAAGTAGACCAAGGAACTAAAACAAGTAGTATATTAATTTTTGACTATCAATCATTGTAGTTTGTCCAATAATTAATTCGTTACTAATTTATTAGCTGTCCTTCTACAAAAATGAATATTAATTTTATTATGCGAAAGATAATTCAATTTACCGGATAAAGACGAAATTGGTCAAAAACGCTACAAAGATCATCGAATGTGTACTGCTGAAGGACAGTAAAATTTGAGAGGTCTGCTTTACGAGCACACTGAACGCAGTAGACGGGAAATTTACCATTTACTTCACGAACAAACAAGATATTCCAAACTTCGATCTGCAAAAAAAAATCACTGATTTCGCAACATAAAAAGGTTTCTTTATCAGAGGAATGATCAAAGTGATCGAAAACATTACAAAGATTCGAAATAAGAAATATGGTCAGGAGTGAAATGAGAGTTGGAATTTCAAAATGCATTATATGCAAGTGATATTTAATGTTCAGAGCAACGAACCTCACAAGTAGAACAATAATGCGATACTTCCCCTTTCTGTCTTGGATGCATCCGAATTGACTTATCGTAAACACTCAACATATCAGCGATCATTTTACTATAAGCTAATGATCGTATAAGCATTTGTTTGATTAATGTAAACATTTTTTGATTTGAAAAGCGTATGTTCCTTGCCAATTGCCAACTCAAATGTTGCATTGGTACCAATGATTTGTAACCCTGAAGTGAAGGTTGTACTCATTCTTCCGATCATATATTAAAATTCTGAATAACATTACAGCTCGTACCAAAGAGAATCAATTGATAATCAAGCATGTTAACGAGTATTACTTCTGATAGCGAAAATGTATTCTGGAAAGCATGGACAAATCTACATATCTGAAGGCCAATAAAAACCCTCAAATAAGTAGATCGTTATAGAGCAAGGCTGATACGAGAGTATAATATTGAAATTTCCACGAAAATGCATGCAGTTATGAAGATAAGAAGAAATAAATTAATAATATAATGCGTTTCAGAAAAACAGCAAGTAATTTCATTTAAAAA